TATTTATTTATATTTATTTATATTTATTTATATTTATTTATTATTTATTATCTTCTATTTATTTCATTTCATTTCTGATTTTCATATTGACCCAGGTCCTGGGTTCTTGCCAGCTCTTCATGCCCTCATTCTCCCAAAGTCTCAAATTCCTTTAAGAGGCCATGCAGCCCGTCTCACTGTGATCACATTAACTGGGTAAAATTTGGCATGAAGAAAATTTCTCAGTCATCTGAAATGCCTTGCTTGGGCATGTCCCAATACTGTTCTTTTCCTCAGAACATCAACAAAGTTAAGCCCCATATTTAAGGGTCCTATCTCTTGGGGAAGAAGCATTTTGTTCTCTGAAACTGCCCTTTACTGTTCTACTTGGTTGTCAAATTCTCCAGCTTTCTTTTTACCTTGAGTTGTTGGTTAAATAGAATCACTTAGGAGTCCAACTAGCAAAGTAGAATGAACACATTGCCATGAGTCCTAAGACCCAGGTTAAATTCCAGACTTTGCTCCTAACTCGCTGTGTGACATGGGCAGAGGCTTAACCACCGCAGGCCTTAGTTTCCTTTCCCATAGGCGTCACGTCCTATGCCAGCTCTCCAGCATGTGCATGAGGAGCAGTGTGAAGATGATACTAAACATCTGTTCATTCAAAATTCATTCTGTTGTGTGTCCTACACATCTGGCAAGCTTGCTTTCGTTCATTCTTTCATTTATTTCTTTGACAAACAGTTATTAAGCTCTATATGTAAGACACTTGCTAGGTGTTGGGGATACAGACGTGAATAAGACATGGTTCTGCTACTGAGGAGCCCATAGCCTGGTTGAGGATACTGACAAGTAAAACATGAACTAGACTGCAGTGTGTTGAATTCTGCATTTAAGGGGTGTGTGTGTGTGTGTGTGTGTAACTTGCCCTGGCAGGAGGGGGGAGGAAATAATCTTATTCCTGAACTTGAATTTCCTCAGTGACAAGGGAAGAATCAGGCTGGGCTGAAAATTGTCCATGACTAAGAAGAACAGGGCTCTTCATAGGTGCTCAACAGACGTAGGCTGAACTGAATAAAGCATAGTCTTGGCTTCCAGTGAAATCTGAAGCAATAAACACATGCATTTATCTCCTCTTCCACCTCAACTCCCACTAAAATGACAGCAAAGGGATGAAATGGTACACATGACCAAGGACAAAACAGTGAGAGGAGATGACAGCAGATGAGAGATGTCAGTAACATCTTGGAAGGTGGAATGGAGATGGAAAGGGACAGCTTGACTCTGCAGAGGTGGAAGTCAACACATAGCAAGCAGGTTCTCATCACAGAAATTAGGATAACTGGGAACCCCTGAGGATGGGCATGAGGGAGGGGCTAATAGAAGCCTATGTAGGGAGACCTCAGAACCCTAGATCCCGTTGCCCACCCTGTGCATCTGGGCAGCTCCCTCTGGCTCACCCTGGCAGGAGACCTGAGCGCGAGCCAGAGACCCTGGGACACTTGACAGAGGGAGTGAGGCCAGAACTGAAAACTGAGGGATTAGGTGAAAGTCTACAGATCAAACAGTGAGATGACGTGGCTTGTTTACCAGAAGGCTGGCAACTCAGATCAGGAGACTAGAGGATTCGTCTCTGAGGTTGGCTGTCCCCAAAGAAAGTACTTCTGCATACTGACATTTGGGAGGGCCCCCACAGCAGGTCTAAGTCACCTTGTTGATAGCCCCATTTTCAAACTCGTCATGTCAGAAACTTTAGTTATCCACACAGAGCATCCAATATCATTCTAGAACTTCAATCTTAAATATGAATGGACAGCCAAGGTTATCAGACATTGTCAGAGAGTCTCTAACTTGAAAAGCAGAGACTAAAACAAATGAAGAGTGAAAAAGAACTTGAAGTAGAGATAATACAGGGAACAGAAGAAACATTTAAAAATAATCCCATTACAGGGAAAAGAGTATTGTCTATGAAACAAGAACAATATTCTATAAAAAGGCACATTTAGAAAATAAGAATGAGCCTTTAGATGTAAAAAAATGTCAACAGGAAAAACCCCCATTAAAGTTGGTATTTAAAACGAGGAAATCTCCTAGAAAGTGGAACAAAAAGACAAAAAGATGGAAAACAGAACAGAATGAATAATAAAACTAGAGAATCAGTCCAGAACATACAACAGCTACATTACTGGAGTTTCAGAAATAGAAAATAAAGAGAGCAGACATCTGGAAATAATTTAAAAAACAATACAAGAACATTCCTAGAATTGAAGGACTAGATTAAAAGAGTCTCTAGATTTAAAAAACCCTGTACAAAGAGTAAAAAGCAACCCACTTTAAGGCACATCATAACGAAAGTTCGGAATACTGGTAATAAAATATTTCAAAAGCTCTAGAGAAAAAAACTGAAGGATGAAGAATCATAGCGCTATCCGACTTAACAACACTAGAGCTGGAAGACGATGCCATCAAAATTCTGAGAGAAAATGACTTCCAACCTAGAATGCAACCCATCAACTGTGAGGGCAGAAAGAAGACATTTAGGGTTATGTAAGATCCTCTAAAATTTACTCCCACATGCCTTTCCTGGAGGAGAAAGTGCTCCTCCAAAAATGAGGGAGTGAACCAGGAAAGAGAATGATGATGGGAGTCAGTTCCAACACGGGACAGGGAAAGGGAATTGCCAGTATGAGGGAGACGGGAACTCCCGGGAAGTGTGAAGGCTTAGAGAGCAAAGAATTCAGATTGAAGAAATAAAGCATTGAGATATCTGCAGGTGGGATGTCACCAATAAAAAGGAGAACTCAGCCCGGGCGGGCGTGGCTCAGTGGTTGAGCGTCGACCTAGGATCCAGGCGATTGGGGTTTGATTCCTGGTCAGGGCACATGCCCAGTTGCGGGCTCGATCAATGACTCTCATCATTGATGTTTCTATCTGTCTCCCTCTTCTTTCCTCTCTCTGAAATCAATAAAGATATATTTAAAAAAAAAAAAAAAAAAAGGAGGACTCAGAGACTGAGATTTGTGCTTGAATGTGTCAAGAGGAGATGTACTCTCCTGGCTAAGAGTTTGGGGAGATTAGTCACAGAGAAGTAAGCAAACCAAAGATTAGAACAAAAACAACCCCCAAACTCCAAAAAACTCCATGTAATTATTGACTCCTGGGAAACCAAAAGTTGGAGAAAAAAGAAACTATAATTATTGTATGCCATGGACTCAGATGAGAATATTTTAAAGTCATAATAGTATAAATAATGACTCTAGTTTTAATTAAAAATGATAGTATTGGTAAACTGGGAGAAGGGGGGAGGGGAAATGTAGGTGGTGAAGATCTGAGATAAAGCTAGTTCTACAGTTGAAAGTGACTGGATAATATGTATTTAAAAAACCCAAACAAAACCAGAATAAGCATGTTATTGATACATACGAAAATAAATACCAGATGAAACAGCTACATGAATTGTAACTAATTGTCCCAGGAGGGTAGAATGGGGTGGGGAGTAGGCTGGAGGCAACTGTTTTTCATTATAAGACTTGTAGAACTCTGATTTAAAAACAAAACAAAAACTATGTGCATATATTATTTTGATATAAATAAAATTAGGTAAGGTTCTGTTTTAAGTGTCCTTGTTCTGAATAATGGCCTTACCGTAGGAACTTCTGCCATAGCTCCTCTCAGGTAAACTCAAACGGTCACCGAATCTTTTGTTACTATTCATGCCCAGCTTCCTGCCAGGACAGAGCAAGTATTCAAGGTGTTTAATGACTGATGTGTGAGTCCTTGCACTTTATTCTCGGGATTGGCAGCATGTGTGTCCCTTTGGGGCCAAGATGATAGCACAGCCAGGTTACAGGGCTATTAGTGGAGATGTTCACTTGAGCAGACCCCCACCTCCCAGGTAAGCCAGCCTGTGCCCCTGACTTGGGCTCTTCATCCATCCTCCGAGATTCAGGGCACTGCTACCTCCCACTGCCCTGGCTCCAGGCCAGGAGGCTCCCTCCCTAGAGTCCCTCCAGGACCCCAGCTCACTGTGACAGAGTCCTGCTCACAGTCCTGGGACAGCTCCAGGTCCAAGTCCTGGAAGATGAGCTTCACAGCAAAGCCCTCCGGGGCCTTGATGACAGTGGTGCTCTCTTGGCCTTTGAGGTATGGCTCTGGGTACCCTGGGGATGTCAGCTGCTGGGGTAGCTGCTGGGCCAAGAGCACGGAGCCCTGCGTGGGGCAAGCCTGGAGGACTCCCCAGAGAAGCAGCCACCACCTGTGAGTGGGTGAGGGGAAGATGAGTCCACAGAGCTGGGGCCTGAGGCCTGTAGAGTCATGAGGAGTGGGGCAGGAGATGCTAAGGGACAGAGACCTGGCAAAGGCAAAGGCATTAGCAGCTGTGGCCTCAGGCCTTGAGGCCTGGCACCTCTGCCTGTTCCCAATTGACTCTCTCTGCCCCAGTTCCTTAGTATCCTACTCAGCCTGAGCTCCACGGTGAGTTTTCTGCCATTACTTATCTTCCTGGAGAGTCTCATACAAAGTGGGAGGCTACTTTGTGCTTCAGCAGATCCCAACCCCACCCTGGGGTCTGAGGGAGAAATGGTGGTACAAATGAGGGACAGTTAAATATGTTAGTTTCCTGGCTCAGAGCATTGTGCCTAACCACCCACAGGGAAGGCTGCTAGAAGCTACGGGCAACTCCTAATTCCCCTCTGCATTAAGTGGCTGTGTGTGTGTGTGTGTGTGTACATACACCCCTGGGTCCCAACCCCCCTTTTCCCCACCCCTTTTTCTCCCCACCCTTGTCCTCTCCTCCAGGACTCTCCAAGGGCACACTCACATCTCGCCTGGGCAGCTTGTGGAGTGGGGGCTTCCCCAGAGAGAATTCCCCATATCTGAGGGCAGGCATCTGGAATGGGCCACCTGGGACCTTCCAGAGGACTTGGCCCAGGCCCGGGAACAAGAGGTGGGGCTGGAGAGGGCCATGAGGGGTGGGAGGGAACAGTTACTGGAAATGGGTTAAGTAATTCTCCTGTTCCTTTTTCTAAATCTCTGGGTTGAGTGCCACCTATTGTCTAATTTGGGAATAGCTCACCCATGATAATTTAAGAGGAAAAACTCCAAAGCCACGCTGGCCTTCAGAGATCAAAGGTGGTAGGGCACTGACTCTGGACTCTTGTACTATTTACAAAACAGTAAATAGTAGGATGGCTCCTTGTGAGTTATGGTTGTGGCCTTTAGTTGGACATACCTCTCCCTCCCTGACCTTTCCACTCATTTATTTTCCCAGCCTGCCTCTTATTGAAACTGAAGTTTGCGAACCGTGAACTTGAGAGTCTCCTCCTCTCCCTCCTCACCAAACATGGCTGGAGCCCTCAATTTTGCATCCTGCTCACAACCCCTGAAGCTGCTCATCCAGCAGGTTCAGGTTGGCACAGGGCCGGGATTAGGCCTAGACTCCAGCTTCTTTAGGCAGATATCAGGGGCCATGACTGGGGACAGAGGCCACCCTCTCCAGGAGAGACACTCACCCATGGCTTGATAGGGGGCCAGGAAGTCCTTGTGGAGGCCAATGGTCCTGTCCTCAAAGTAGGTAGTTGTGTGAAAGGTCAGAAGCAGCCTGTTCCCCAAAGACACAAACTCCTTCTGCCCAGGAGGCTGCCCAGGGAGAGCCAGGTTGCCCACAGAATCAGCTCAGAGAAACCCCCAACCCCAGGGCTGTGATCTGAAAGGAAAGAGAAGAGTGGGGAGGCAGGCAGTTGTCACGTCCTGGGTGTGGACCCCACCCTCCAGCCTCGTCTAGAAGTTCTGCATACCTCTGGGGCTCACAGCCATAACTCACTGTGGCGTTGTCAAACAGTTTTACTTACCCTTTCTCTCCCCATTCTTTGGGTCACCAAGGCTACCAAATGCTAAGAATGGCTCCTCACCCAATTCTTTCAGGAGACTCTCTGGGAACCCTTAGGGCACTCCCCCAAAATCTAGTAGGCCTGGGAACCCTTAGGGCACTCCCCCAAAATCTAGTAGGCCTGGGCTCACCACCATCGATGGCTAACAGGGCGCCACGCCCATATACAGGGTCATGAAACGTGTGTGGCTGAGTCTTGAACGTACGGCTAGAAAGTCTCTTGGCTGGCTTCTTCCTTCTTTCCCCCACCCCAACCCTCTAACCCCTCCTCATCCAGCCCTGCTGTTACTTTAAGTACTTTTCTGCTACCACTCTTCGGACCTGATTTTTCCTTCTTTCTCTTTTCCTGCAGGATGCTCCCTGCCTCCTCCAACAAAACACATATGGTTGTAACACAGCTATCTAATAACAGAGTGAGAACCATTTAAAGATATAAAATATACTAAAAAGTGCTATACTTCTGTATATTTCATATTCCTGTAACAGTAATAAGCAGCTCCTTCCGGACTCTCTCTGGGCCATTCTGAATGACCAGGCTCCTCCCCAAGCTCCATTCCCCGGGGTCCTCTCCTTCCTGGAGCCTCGTTTTTCCATCCTAGTCCAAGGGAAAGCTTGGGGGGGGGAATCTCTGTTGAGATTCCATGAAGTAATCTCTGCTCAGGGTGCATGCACGTGTATTCTCCTACTTCTCGTCACCCTGCTTTCATCTGTCCCTCACCTCCATCACTCTCCTCCCTTTCTCCAGGCCTTTGTGCTCTTGCTTTTATGCTCCTTGATCCAAGCTTCAGCCCTGACGGCTTCCTCTCCTTTGAGCATCTTATTGCTCCATCTTCCTGGGGAGCCTCTGGCTCGAGAAGGTGGTTTCTTATTGGGCTTAGGAATTTTCATTGTCTTCCAAGTAACAGGGGCCCAGTGGAGAAGAGGACCCCAAATATCATGATCAGAGCCTCTGTCTTCCTTATGATCACCCCGGGGAAGGGGTGCTGCCGGCCACAGACAAATTCCAAATCCTGAGTTAACTAAACTCAGGGTTTTACTGCTTCCCTCTCTTTCCTTTTTCTTTTTTTAAAAAAATTTATTTTTCAGTTACAGGTGACATACAATATTATATTAGTGTCAGGTGTAAAACATAGCGATTAGACATTTATATATTTATATTCCTTACAAAGTGATCCCTCCAATAAGCCTAATACCCATCTGACACCATAGTGATTACAATACTACTGACTCTATTCCTTATGCTGTGTTTTATGTCCCCTTTACTGTTTTTATAACTGGAAATTTTTACTTCTTAATCTCTTTCTTGCCTTTTTTGCCCCTCCCCCCTCCCATCCCCCTCCCATCTGGAAACTATCAGTTTGTTTTCTGTTCTTCTCTTTCCTTTTCCAGCTCTTCCCACAAGGCTGGCTCCTATCTTTCCTGGTAGATCAGAGAGCAGGGATTCCTCCTGTTAATTCAAATAATTGGAGACTTTTAAATTCTTTGGCAAAAAAAAAAAAAAAAATCAAACAGAGTAATGGGGTTTTATCTTTATGCTTGAAAGGAGAAAAAGAGAATCCCAAAAGTACTCTTCTGGTCTAACAGACAATAATCTCACAAGTATTCATGCTTACTGAAAAGTAAAAGGTTAATTAAAAAATTTTTTTAAGAGTAATAAGTTATTGACCAACCAGACTTGCAGACTTTTGTTTTATAGACTACATGGTCATATAGCACTGGTCATATAGCAATCATCTCTGAAGTCTGAATGTTTTTAAAGATTCCTTTGTATAAATTACCCTCCAAAGATGATACAAATATAACATGGAACAGGATTATATATTTTCATGCCAGTGAGATTGAGTGTTTTTGATTCTCCATTTTATTAGAATCAACTGTATGAGCAGAATCATGCCTGATTTTCTGCAGCGCCAGGCTGAGGGAGTACATTCTGTCTTCCTCAGATTTATTTTGTTAGCATTTGTGAGGCTTGCTTTTTAAACCGAAGCACCAGAATTTCATTACAGAAGATTTAGAAGGAACAAAGGGCAGGTCTGAGAAGATTAAAACGTACAAAAGAAAAGAGAAAGTTAACAAATGTAATATGGGGCACATTATGTCTTTCATGTGCGAGTAGGAGTCAGGTCCCCTCACTCCAGAGCAAGTGAGGGGGCTTGGCCCAGGTGAGGCAACAGGGCTGTGGCTGGGAAAGGCTCCAGGGGCAGGAGGAACAGAAAGTTACTGGAAATACAGTAATTACCAACATGACTTTAAAAAACATCTCTAGAGTAGATACCACTTGAGGTCTGGCTTAGGGATGACCAAAATATTGGAGCCAGTTTTTACTCCAGCTGAGGCTTGTTATTTCTGAGACCAGGAACACCTTGGGGAGGGGAGCAGGTCTGAGGGAGAGTTAGTGCTCTTTTCCTAATTTTATCATCACAAAAGGCATTTGCTCAGCTTGATCTGTCTGGCAGCACAAGGTGGGTGCTGGGATTGGCTGTGGGGGCTATAGCTCTGAGCCTGCACCACGTCCCTGAGCTCCAAGCTCTACAAGTGGGCTGTTCTCTCATTGTGTGATACCTGGATCATAATCAGGTTGGAAGCCACTTGAGTGTCTCAGATATTTCTACCATTGCTCCCCTGAACAATGAGTACACAGGGCAGACTCCAGAAAGCCTAATTAAGACTAAAAGAATGTAACTTAAATTTGAGCTATTGCTCATTTCAAGATAGTTTGCAGTTTCAGGTAAGCCAAATTAACTGCCCACTTGAAAAAAAAAAAAAAAAGGCAGTACTATTTGAAGGAATATCACAGAATCCATAGTCTTTATAATGTATCAATCATCATGTCCAGGATACAATCCAAAATTACTCCAAATATAAAGAAACAGAAAAACATAAAACATGCTCAAGAGAAAAGACAACAGAGCCCATCCCCCAAGGTGACCAAGATGTTGGCTTCAGTACCCAAGAATTTTAGCACATAAAGATGCAAAGAAAAATATGCTCATATTAAAAAAAAAGATAGGAACATAAGCAGAGAAATAGAAACTTTTTAAAAAAAGAAACAAATGTAAATTCTAGAACTGAAAGATGCAATATATGAAATTTAAAAAATTGCCAGAGGGGCTTAATAGAACAATGGAGTTGGCAGAAGAAAGAGTCAGTGACCTTGAAGAGAGATAAATTAGAAAGAACAGGGAAATAAATTTTTTTTTAAAATGAGCAGAAACTCAGGGTCCTGTGGGACAATATGAAAAACACACTCTAATATGTGTGTTCTTGGAGTCCTAGAAGGCGAGAAGAGAATGAGGCAGAAAAAAATTTCAAAGAAATAATGGTTGGAAATTTCCCAGCTGTTGAAAAAGGCATTTATCTTCAGGTTCAAGATGCTCAGTAAACTCAAAACAGAATTGAAAATAAACAAGAAAGCACACATAGGTCCATCATAGTCACATTGTCGAAAACCGAAGATAAAAATCTGGAAGGCACCCAGAGAAAAAGAACACACAGCAAACATAGAACCACATTTTATTTAAAAAAATATATATATCTTTATTGATTTCAGAGAAAGGACAGGAGAGGGAGAGAAAGAGATACAAACACCAATGATGAGAGAGCCATTGATCAGTTGATCAATGCCCCCTGCATGCCTCCAACTGGGGGTCGAGCTCGCAACCTGGGCATGTGCCCTGACCGTGAATCGAACCTCAGTCTCCTGGATCCTAGGTCGATGCTCAACTGCTGAGCCACACCTGGCCGGGCAGAACCACATTTTCAATGCCACTGCTTTGTCATCAAACACAACACAGACGAGAAGGCAGTGGAACAGCTTCTTTAAAACATTGAAAAAAAACAAATCATCAACTNGCGGGCAGAACCACATTTTCAATGCCACTGCTTTCTCATCAAACACAACACAGACGAGAAGGCAGTGGAACAGCTTCTTTAAAACATTGAAAAAAAACAAATCATCAACTCAGAGTTGCTTTTTCAGCGAAAATATTCTTCAAGAATGAAGATGAAATAAAACCATCTTCAGATAAAAAGAAAACTTAGAGGCTTTGTCATCAGCAGACCTGCATTATGAGAGACG